CTTGTGCTTACAATTTTTATTAACAAGGCACTTTTCTGATTTTTCAATTCTTCAGTTTTCTTCCTTATAGATCAATAGCAGATGCAATGTCTGTATCTCCAGCGAATTTTCCTCCGACAAATAGCTGTTTACCAGCTTGCTGTTTTCTGCTCAAATGCATTCACAGAGGACAGGTTAACTTTTAGTTCATGTTCACCTGCATTGCGGCATTTATTGTTGAATAGCATGGTATTCTCTGACATTATTTTCCTGTCTCATTTTTTCAAGGTATTACCAGCTCAGTTTGAATTGTTGCTTCATCAGCATCACTGCAATAGAATCACTCTAAGGTTTGGACTACGGCAATGGACCATCACAGTTACTGATCATGCATTCGGAGAAGGATGGGATGTTTTTTGTGAACACAACATTGTTAAAAGACATGACACGTTGTTACTTCGACATAGCGGAAATCTGATATTTGATGTCATTCACTTCTGTGAACTACAAAAACAAGTTTTATTGCCCTGGACAGTTCCCCTGCCAGACCTGTTGCACTTGAATAGCGTTGCATCACGAGGTGAAAATATCACTGTATCTATCTCATATCCTCATCCATATCATACATAGTTTTAAATTTAACTCATTATCACTGATTCCAGATGATATCCATGCACCTACTAGACACCAGCAAGTTGCTTCGTCACTCAGACCAAATTTCTGCCAAGATCTATCTGATTCGGTTTGCTTTTATCAAATATTTAACTCTGCAACTCCAAACAATTTGGTCAGCTATTCCATGTTTACCTGCATTCTCTTTATCATCCCAACTTTCTTGCAAGCAATTTCCTTTTGTTTCTGCATATCTTCTGATCTCAACCTCTTCATGACAGAAAATTCCACGCTTTATTGATCACTTCATCAATGGTACCAAGACTCCGATGTTGCTTATCAATACTGGAAACAAAAGTGCTCGGATAGGTGTAAAGCATAAATGCCTTCACAAAAACTGGAGAGATTTCATTCTTGAACATCAACTGCAGCACAACGAAACCCTTGTTTTTGTTCCGGAATTTGAAAATATATTTACGGCTTTGATCTTCGACGATACCGGAGTTGAAAAGATTTTTCCTTGGTATCACGCATTCAATATTTGTTCAGATGCTTGACGAATTTAACTGAATGTAATTTACCTATAAATTAAATACATTACCGATAATTTCAGCTTCATCTTAGCTACCCTATACAGCTATTGGCCCGTGAACCTTAATACATTACTTCTTGTTTGTATTAATTAATATTACAAAATTAATTACTCAGCTGGGCATTACTGGGCATCATTACATTCGCCCACCGCGCATCGCGCGGTGATCACCTCCTAGTCTTCTCCTAAAGCAACTTCCTCTTTTTATGCGATATATAATGCGGAGGATTATTGGGTGGTGTTAACAAATAGTGCCATTTTTTTGAAATTCTTATTTTACCCTGAAGTCCCAATTTATTGCAAGACAACCTCACAATTACAGCATAATTATCAATTCACATTATCCACAAATCATCACTCTCTCACTCCAACTCCCACTTTTATGTATCCCACTCAACTTCCATTTTTTTCTCTCCGAAAGCAACTTCCTCTTTTCTACACCATTATCCGGAGGAGAAGTCTACTAATTCCTAATGGACGTAGATATGGTTTGATACCAATATTTCAAATATTAATAAAGGACTGTGATAGAAAATAAAAACTTTATAAGGACAGAATTTCATATATGTACTTTTTTATTAATTGCACACCTATTAGGGTGTGCCTTAATCACTAGTTATCATTGTTTGAACTAACTCCATTTTGTGCTTCCAAATTTTTATCACTTTTTTACTTTACATCCTAAAATATAATTTATTAGAATCGTATATTCTAAACTTTTAAGTTTAGACAGTTTATATCTTAAATTCTCAAATTGTCGCATTTAAATCCAATTAATGACAACGTTAGTAGAATTAATAGCATGAAAACCTTGCAAATTAACGATAACTAGTTGAAAATTTGAAATTGGTCAAAAGGAACCAACTTATCGCAATTAGAACAAAATGATACATTATAATTAAAGTAAAGTCAAAAATATATAAAGTAACAAAAAGTATTTACCCTAAACTCACATCTCTGCTTTTGTATATAGTATTGATTTTAAGCATGAATTGCTTAAGTATAGGAGAGTAGATAAGTAATTGATTCACAAAACAACCTTGGAAGGGTGAGTTTAGATCGTTAACTTATCCCAAATAATATTTCGCTTATATAATAAACACATTTTTTAATTTATTTTTTTGTATTTCCAATCACTTTTTTATCTTGCACATAACACATTATAAAAAGTATTATAGTAATTATTCAAAATAATATCTTAAATAATATCTCAAATAATGTACTCTATCCAAATATGTGATAAAAAATTAAATATTCTTAATAATGAGGGTACAGAAGAAACTCAAATGATTACATATGTGAGTTCAGTATGGTAGAACCGCTGCCACTGCTGTTCCCATTTGTACATTGCTTGTATCATTGTAGAGAAGAGGGGGCCCGGGTCCTCACCTTTTTTTTTTTTTTGATAAAAAACATCATCATTTCATTAAATTTTCAGTAATAGTAGAAATAACATCAACCATATACATATCCAAATACATTTGAAAAATAATTACTTTATACTATGAAATCTATATAATATTACATTGAAGCTTCAAAAAAATTAAAAGATAAAATACTCATAAACCAAATTTGCTAATGAACTGATTCAAATCCAAATGTTAAGATGATATCTAACAAGGTAGATCTAAAAAATTTCAGATCTAACAACCAAATTTGAGAAAAACATAAATCTAATACAAGAAATAGACTAACTATAAAAAATCTCATAAGAAATCTATAGTAGAGGAGAAAACTTTCACTAGAAATCTCTAAAGAAGAAGAAATTCTCAGTTGGAAATCCATAGGAGAGTAGAAAACTTTAGCTAAAAATTCTTAGAAGTAAAGAAACTCTTATTAGACAATGTTAGAAGAAACTTTATTGTAAACACAAAAAACAATCACCTAATCCATAACAAATGACGTACTTTTAAAGGTATGATCTAATGCAGGTATGCACTAAAATACCCCGTTGGAGACTTCCTAACTAGCGGCCAAAAGAATGCACAGGAAATCCTGAATATAATCATCTCCCAGAATGGCTTAATTCTCTTGGGAAGAATATGAATGTCTAACTTACAATTGATATGTAAGTACAAAACACTCCCCAAAAATTTCAAACACCAATAAAAAATATTCAAGAGGTTGTTGAATACTGCTGTTTAATTTTTCATTTAACTACTGATGACCATTTGTCAGTGTCTATAAGTATTTAGCTTAGCTTTATTCTGTTCCCGAAATTGGATGGCCATTGGGAGTGGTGATATGTTGTTTTCGGCCCTCACGTGACTTCCCGGCCCAATGGTGACATGTGTAACAATCAAAGTGCTTATCTCCTCTGACCACGTGTCATAGCTCCGCCCCTACTTTGCAACATTTGCACATTATAATTAGGGTAAATAACATATGACGCTCATATGATTTTGCATACCCTTTAAAATTTTAAAATAGCCATATAATCTCTCTGTGATTTTATGTAAAGTGAAAAATGAATGGATTACATAATTAGTTACGATCGACATGTGTTTTAAAAGTGTGTACGATAAAATAATAATTTCCACTTAATACCCCTATGATTTGTATAAATATTCACTTTATCCTCCAATATTTTTACATTCATCCATGTAACCCCTGTATGATTTTGTATAAGGTGGCAAAGTCGTCGTTTGATTTAGCATTCAAGTAAGGGCATCACTGGTATTTCAACTAATGATATTAAATAAACTATTTTCCATTAAATTTGTAGTTTACATCAAACTATAAGGATGTGAAGTGAATATTTTGAAATGTTAAGGGGTTATATGACAATAGATGAAACTGTAGGGAGGTTATTAGTAATTTATCCTTATAATTATAAGTTATATAGCTTCGTGCATGTAATTATAGTCAAAGAGGTTATTTTATATGATGGTTTATGTTACGTGACCATTAAATGTGTAATTACAAGCTATAGAGAAGTTTAATGATGAAAAGAAAAGAATGAGAGAGAGAGAGAGAATGAAGAACAAATGTTTTTAGGAAAAGGGAGTGTCTAAAATCATGTTCCTTGGGTTTACATTTAGCTTGGGACATTCTTTTCAAAAAAAACAAAGAGAAAAAAGAAAAAAAAAAATCATGTCGTTATCTGACGTGGTTTAGGAAAAGAACTGACACAGACTCAGTACAATTGTGTTCGTTTCTTATAATTTAGCTAACATGAAAGGGTGGATGGATGACAAAACTACCTTAATAAGGAATCAATAGTGTTAGTCCTAATTTAGTTAACATGAAGAGTATAAAAGTTAATCAATTAATAAAACAACTTTTTAAATTTCATGCAGTAGGTAAAGCTTACAGCAATAAACAACAACTACTTGGCAAGTATCATGAAAACATGAGCACCATGTCATGATACTCCTGTTCATGGAAGCAATACCAGCTCTATGCTAGTTGAGGGTGAAGAAATGGTCTACTGGAGAAGCCACAAGAGGAAGAAACCACTTCCAATCAATGCATAAATTTCTTCTACTCAAGAGTTGCTAAATTTCCTTGCCTTCTATTGAAGCTAAAATTTCATCCACACAAACAGCTTACCAAGGAAAATCATCCTGAGTTCCCACCTTGGATGACATTGACAGGTTCGACAATAAGTATGGCAGACTTAATCTTGAACACGCAACATTAGATGTACAATCCTATGCTACAGTTACATTGCTAACATTATATACAATCCCTGTGGAATGGCAATGATGATGCCATTCAGATCAAGTGATACTCTTGGTTCCCCGCTTTCTTAAAGGTATATCGCCGACAGTATATCTCATATAACATACTTAAACCTATTAGACAAAGCAATGAAAGACCTTTAATCCTGTTCATCTTGTCCAGGAAGAGTTTTCTCTTTTTTATCTTCTTTTCCAGGACCATAAGCCTTACTACAAATAAGGAAATAAATCATGTTAAGCATGCTTAAGCCAGCAAGAACCCAATAGTAATAATCATAGTGACCCTTATTTATGTTGGTTGAAATCCAGCTTTCTTTTCCCCCTCGTTTTAAGAGTTTGTCAATGATGTTCATAAGAAAACTTGCTACCAAATTTGCCACAGACGTCTCAAGTAAGAACAAAGTGGAAGCTATACTTTTCATGCTTCTGGGAAACTCAGAATAGTAGAATTCATTTTGTGCAACTGCACTTGAGGCTTCTGCAAAGCCAATCAAGCAGTGTTTGTTTGGATTGTTTCATATTTCTCCAATTTTATTTGCTTACATCATCTTTACAATTTTCAATACACCTTTTTATCTTCCCAATATCTTTTTATCTCACATACATCACATCACAAAAAGTGCTACAGTAAAAATATCTCAAATAATCCCAAATAACTTACAATCCAAAGGAAGAAGCCAAAGAGCTGACATGTCCACCACTGCTTCTGAAGCATCTGAATATCCTTCCCTGATTGCCAGATTACGCCGTTTAGCCTCCACAGTTGCTGTCACTACCATGCATACGAAAGACAGGAGCATTCCAATTGCCATTCTTTTCCTCGCTGAGAGATGAACATGTTTCCCCATGATTTTGGATGCAATAGGCAGGAATACGCGGTCATAAAGAGCAATCCATATTATGATACTGATTATGGTAAACATGCCAAAAGAACCGGCTGGTATTTCGAAGCTTGAACCAAACCTCCGGTTCATGGAATTTGCTTGAAGTACAGGAAATGAGTTCTGGCTAATATTTACCGACATTATCATTCCTGTTGACCACAAGGGAATCACTTTGAGAAGCGTCTTAAGGTCCTCAACTTGATTTATTGTGCAAAGAGTCCAGGGATCTGCTGCCCTTCCATCTGTTGTCAAGTCTTTCTCAGGATCTACTATGATGCAGGCTTTATTTAAGAACCTTGAAAGACAAATCATTCATGTTTTCATAAGAGATCAATGAACCTATAACAAAATAGGAACTTGTCTTTTGAATATTTTGCTTTCAAACAACTGTAAAGAAGCATTCTCAGAGTCAAGAACATTATAACAAATGTTGAATTCACCATCAGATGAAAATATATAGCAATAGTAATTGCAAACCCATTTCAGCTAACAAAGACAGGTAACCTTGTATAAGGTGGGGCTAAGAACCTAAAATTATTCATAATTTCTTATACATGGATCAAGATTGTATTTGTAAAATCCCCTAGTCTCAGTCTGACTCCTCAGAACGAAGCTATTCAATTTGGATAAGAGAACATTAAGATCAAGGGAAGACTTCTGTAAAGGTGAATATAGACTCACCTTAGTTTTTCACTTGGAAGAATCGATGAACCCTTCTGGTGATGGTATATCATGTTTGAGCTCTCTGTCGATAGATCTATATGTCGTTTTCTACAAGAGGCAACAGCCACTTGAAGCAATTCAACAATTATGGTTGACTTAGCCTTCAATTTGACGTAACAGGGTGAAGCCAGGGAGAATGACAGAGCTGAAAGGAACATGAGAATGACTGGAATGCCAAAACCAACTTGCCATCCCATCTTTTCTTGTACATAGACAATGCAAGTTGAAGCAATTAAAACAGAAATTGTGCATGAAGCATAGTACCAGCTGAAATAGCTCTCAAGAATCCATCCATTCCTGCGTCCACCTGCTTTTTTCAACTGATCAGCACCAAAAGCCAAGGATGAAGACCTAGTTCCTCCAGCTCCAATAGACATAAGTCCAAAACAAGAACACAAGAGAAAGAGTTGCAAAGTTGTCGCAGAGCTACAATTATTGCTGGATTCATCACATGGAGGCGGCCTTGTTTGGGGAATCATAGTTGTTAACCATAAAAGAGCCATACCCTTCAAAGTAAAAATTCATTTTCAGATAATTCAGTTAAAATTAGAAATACTATCGTAAATTTAAATAACTATGTAATCCTTTCCACTGTATTACTTATCAATAGTGTTTTGTTTTCCAACAGCAGCTGATTAAAGTCGTGCATCAAGCCATCAACAAATGGAGGCATGAAGAAATATACAGAGGAATTTAACCTCTTTATGATTGACTAGAATGATGTGCAACAAATAATCTTCTAAAAACCAGGGGCTCTTTCTCAGTTTTCTTTATTGCACGTTCAACGGAGCAAGATTTGTAACTGAAACTAAATTTCAAAGCTCTTGTACGCACGGAGAAACTAATGGCCTCAAGAAATTTTTCGGATGCCATATATGGATGGAATCCTATAAATGAAGATGATTATGGAGTTCAACCCCTAGATTCTAGACGAGCTAACCTAAAATGAGAGTTGCTAGATGCAGACAATAATTCGAAAACATGCCTTATCTGCAATTGTGTTACCAGCTTCATGTTTGAACTATGTTGTTTCTTAAATGAAATGATCATCTGTGTTGATAAACATGGGTTAGAATCTATAGAATTTTGTCTCCATCTGAAGACTACAACGTAAAAGATGATGTTTTCCTTCCTCCTTTTTATTGATAGATTACTATTTTTCGCCTGTACTCTCGCTCTACACAAACAAAATAGCAGGGGATGCTTGCTTAAAAGAGTCAGTCCAATTTTACCATACAATTTCGGGATGAAAATCTTGATGGACGAAAATCCAAAAATGACAAGGCAAAAATCAATTTGTACCTCAATGAATTCTAGCGTTAGGAAAAATTAAACATGGTTAATATTAAATGTTGATTACCAGCAAAGTTTGAAATTGGATTTTTACCAGAAGGCTGAAAACACATCCAAATAAGATCATCCGAAATCGACCCACAAATATATCTGCAACTATAGCACTCAGAAGGGGCTTGAAATTTGTTGCTGCCGACCAAAGAAAGATTATGTTGGAACCAGTAGTCATCTTCAAATGGTACTCTCTTGTCAAGTACAGAATCATGTTGGGCTGTAGTCCATAGCTTGCCACCTGCTCAAAAGACTCGTTTGCTGCCCCCCCAAAAGAAAACCATTTAAAATCACGAGAACTAAATCCCATTAGCAAATTATTTTTACTCTGCCAAATCATCAGTAAACTTCAATGAAACAAAATTACGTAAAATGTGTGAATCGGATATAGCCCAAGAATAAGGCTTTAGTTTCTTTTGTTCAGATGAGATTTCGGTCCATCCCTCCTCATAGAAATTTAAGGCAAAAAAAGAAAAAATGTTACCTAAAATGAATGGGATGGTTCTGAAGCCACCCTTTGCTGAAGAACTGTTATTATCATCATCAAGTAAAGGCTTTGTGATCGTGTTTCCATTTTCATCAGCTGAATTCTCCATCATGTACATATGTGGACTTCTGCTTCTTCTCCTATTACTGTAATGAAATGTGTCAAATATATACTTTGATCCTGCTTAACAAACAGAATTAGAGTATCGAGCATACGATGCATGATATTTTTTTTTTTTTTTTTAGTATTTGCTGCTGGTAGCCCATAAGATCATTCAAAAGAAGAAAAACAGTGATTGGGCCAGACATTTGATCTTACTTACACTCCAACGTTCTGGGGAGCAATGAATGTGACTGGACCAGCCATCATAATACGTACATTGTCGTGTTTTCACTTTTTAAATGTTTTAAAGTTAGAGTCACATTTAAAAACAAATAAATTATTCTTAGCTTTTTTACTTTTTCTATTTGAATATTAAATTTAGGGTCAGTATGAATTAAGTGTTTTTATTATAACATTGTATTTTTAAACATTTTATTGTATAATTATATTTTGGGATATTTTTAAGTTATTTTTTGGTAATTTTGTTACGTGTACTTTGAGGTGTACTTGGAGTGTTTTGAGATATGTTTTTTATTATGTTTGAAAAACTATTGCTCGAAAAAAAGTCCAAATCCAAACAGACCATTACTTGTCCAGTTATACTTTTTTTTTTTTTTACGGAAACGTTAAAACTTATATTGAAATCAAAGCAAGCTATACAACTTGAGCAACGGCCCATGCGGAGCTTTACAATTGTGTCATTTGACACTGAGGACTTAGATATTCCTCATCTTGCACTAAAGTAGTAGCATACATGCTAATTCTTCTACCTAAACCATTACACTGATTGCCAGCCAAGCTAAATGAGCAATTCATAAACAAAGCTTTGAGCATGTGGATATCCTCTAGATGAGCAAAAAGTCTAATATCACGAGTCTTGTTTATTCTCAAAAGTCGCAGCATCTGAAGGGAAGGAACCAGCAAATTTACCTTTGCCCAAGGCAGTTGTCTTACCTTGACCAACGCTAACTTGATTGCTGTAGCGTAGTCCAGCAATGTGTCTCATGAACTTCTGTCCGTCAAGGCCCATGCTGCATGCACATTAGTTCCTTGTTGAGCCATTATGCCTATACCTAATGGCTTCCCTTCGTTTGGATGATTGATGTCCACTGTAACGAGCATCATGTTACTGTCCGCACTACCGTTCTGCTGCTCTTCTATCCTTGCCGTTGTTTCTAGATTGCTCATTTGCTGTTGTCCACGGAGCACTTCAATGTATTCGATCCATTCGAAGTGAGCTTTCTGTACAATTTCAAAAGGGTGACGACATCTATTGTTAAAAATCTTCTCATTCCTGGCTTTCCAAACTTGCCAAAGAATGTTCACAGTAAGAGCCTGGTGCTGAGCTCCTTCTTTCCTACTTGTTGCCTCCATGAATCCACTCCACCATTTGTTGAAGTTCCCTCTGTGGTCAGCAATGCCATCCCACTGTATTGGTGCCAACCCTGTTCTTCTTTTGTACTTGTCCAGTTATACACTCATAGAATTTTAGTGTGAGAGCCTTGTTATAAATTTAGGGGAAAATGCACTTTTCATCCTCAAAGTTTGTGGGGTTGACCAATTTCATCCTCAAAGTTTAACCCCAAACATATTTCATCCTCAAAATTCCTCAAAGTTTGCGGGGTTGACCAATTTCATCCTCAAAATTTAATCCCAAACACATTTCATCCTCAAAATTCCATAATTTTGACCAATTAAGGACAATTGACAGGAATTGGAGGACAAATCAAATAGGAAAAAATGCACTTTTCATCCTCAAAGTTTGTGGGGTTGACCAATTTCATCCTCAAAGTTTAACCCTAAACATATTTCATCCTCAAAGTTCCGTAATTTTGACCAATTAAGGACAATTGACGGGAATTGGAGGACAAATCAAATATTGGGACAGAACTTTGCACGTGAGAAGCACAATTCGTCAGATCCAACTTTATACCCAACATAACCGGGTCAAACCTAATGGATCCACTTTTTCTAACGGACAAAAAACACAAAATAGCAAAAGGAAAAAAGCTCCTGTCTTCTCCTTCTTTCTTCTCCGTTCTTAGCCCTAAAAATTTTTTTGGCCAATCGTTTCATCCATTTTTCGAGCATCTGCTGGTAAGAAGGAAGGCATAGACGGCATCCGTGGAGCATTTTAGGTGAAGAAAAAAATGGTATTGCGGAAGAAAGAGCTCCACATTTGTCCACCTCCAAATTACGGTATTTATACCCAAAATCAATAGCTACATTGCATAAAGATATCTGTTTTTTTGGAGAAGGAAACCTGATATGTGGTCTCTTGTGTTTGTACTTTTTCCCCACTACAATTTACGGCTATTTTTTTTTTCAGATCTGGCCATTTGCATGAGGTATAAATAAATCAAAAAATTTGTCTTGGTTTGATTATTATAGTGTGAATGTGGTCCCTTATGTCTGATGATAGTTGCCGCTTGACTATAAATTTGTGATGAGAGTGATTAATAAACAATAATACTTGGTATATTTTGCCGGCCATGTGTATCTGACCATGTGCATGGAAAAAGTGAAAGTGGTCCTTGTTTGGTAGTTTTTGTGTGGGTCAACAGTTTGTTGTGCTGAAATGATAAAGCTTTTTTTTTTTTTTTTCCCTAAAGAGTCTGATTTATATTATTTTCTTTAATCAAAAACGGGTAGCACATTTATTACATTAAGATGTCACCATGGAGGCCTCATTTCATATACTCCTGATCCCCATTACGAAGGTGGAGATTTGTGTGTTTTTGACTATGTTGAGAGTATAGGTCTAAGTGTTTTCGAAGTGGATAGATTAACTGAGAGTGCTGGTGTATATGGTCATAAGGTGTACTATGGTTGGGAAAATAACACCTTTAGGAGGATAGAAAGCAGTAGGGAGTTGAATGGTTATGTTAAGGGGGAGGTTGGGCCAACTAAGGAAGTTAACTTATATCTTGAAGTATCTTTTCATGAAATTCTAGTGCAACAACTTGGTTATGATCCGTATGAGATAGATGAGACAGAAAATGAACTCCAAAATGGTGATGGTAACAATAATATTAGGGATGAAGGTCAAGGAAGGTGTGCTGCTAATAATTGTGATAATGATTCCAACGCAAGTGATGAGACTTTTTTTTCAGCTATTGATTCAGATTATGAAATAGACGATGATGCTGATGATGGTATATTTCATGATAATGTTGACAAAAATACTGAATGGTTGGGAGTAGACAATCACAGGAAAGAAAATGTGGTTCCTGATCCTTTGAATGAAACAGAGAAGGTTCCTGATTCTGATGAAACAGAATAGGTTCCTGATTCTGAATCTGATTTTGAAAGCATTCATGAGTCTGATGATGAAGAGTCTAAATTGAGGTCTCGTACTTTTGATCCTAAGCATATTGACAATCCAAAATTAGAGCTGTACATGTCCTTTACAAGTCTGAAACTTTTCAAGACTGCCGTACATAATTATAGTGTGAAACAAGGCAGGCCTTGTAAGTTTGTGAAACAAGATAGAGTGAGGGTGAGGGCTAGATGCAGAAATAGTGAATGTAATTGGGTTATATATGCTAGAAAATTAAGTGGGGATGAAACTATTCAAATAAGAACATTTGAAGATAATCACACATGTGATTTTACATATGATAACTCTCTTGTGCATTCTGGATGGGTAGCTAAGAAGTACTGTGAAGAGTTTAGGTGTAATCCTAAATTAGATTTGGAGCATTTTAGGAAGACAGTAATGAAAGAAAATATGTGCTCCTTCACAAAAAATCAAACATATAGGACAAGGAGAAAAACAATGAAAATCGTTCAGGGCAGTGAAAAAGACCAGTACAGCAAATTAGGAGTTTATATGCATGAAATTCTAAGATCCAACCCTGGTAGCACTGTTATAATGAAAACTGTTGATGGTTTTAAAGACTCAAAAACAGGGAAAGGCAGATTTGAGAGGCTGTACATCTGTTTTGCTGGAGTGAAGCATGGTTTCCTAACTGGATGTAGGCAGTTTATTGGAGTAGATGGTACTTTTTTGAAAGGATCAGTAGGAGGAGTTTTGCTAGCAGCTGTTGGAGTTGATGCCAATAATGGCATTTTTTCAATAGCATATGCTGCAGCAGAGGGTGAAAGTAAGGACTCATGGTGCTGGTTCTTCAAACTATTGAAAGAAGATTTGAAGATTGAAAAGGATTATGAGTGGACAATAATGAGTGACAAACAAAAAGGTCTAATTGAAGCATGTGATATGATTTTCCCAAATGCAGCCCACAGATTTTGTGTGAAACACTTGCACAATAACTTTTCATCTGTTGGGTTCAAAGGAGAAGGTTTGAGGAGAGCGTTATGGACTGTTGCCAAAGCAACAACACCAGCCCAATTCATTAGCAGAATGGAAGCAATGACTGAAATTGATATAGAGGCAGCCAAGTGGTTTGATGACAAACCACCAAGTCAATGGAGCAGAGCTTATTTTAGCACTCATCCTAAATGTGCTATGTTATTCAATAACATTTGTGAGTGCTTCAACAGCAAAATTCTTGATGCTAGGGAGAAGCCAATAATTGAGATGTTTGAAGCAATACGATTGTACATGATGCAGAGAATGCAAAAAAATAGGGATCTGGCCAAAGAGAAGTGACAGACTTATCCTTACTGCCCCAGAATTCTTCACATTATGCAGAAAAATATAGATAGAGCACCTGACTGTTTTTCATTCAAGTCAAATGATGATCTTTATGAAGTCAGTTGCCCATATGGTGACCAATATGCAGTGAACATCAAGGAGCAAACATGCTTTTGCAGAAAATGGGAACTAACAGGTATTCCCTGTCCCCATGCCATTGCTGCATTGTGGATGGCTAAAAAGGATCATCTGCTATATGTTTCAAAATGGTATACAGTGGAGACATATATGAAGTGCTATGAAGGATCAGTGTATCCCATGAATGGAGAAAGTGAATGGGGGTTTACTGATGTTGGTGAAGGTCCTTTGCCACCCTTATATGGGAGAGCACCTGCAAGGCCTAAGAAGCTGAGAAGGAGAAGTGCAGAGGAGGTTCAACAAGTCAAGGAAAAAACTAAGAAGAAGGTGACAAGAGTGGGACAGATTAACAAGTGTAGATACTGTCATCAAAGGGGACATAATATGAGGTCCTGCAAGCTTCTCAAAGATGCTCAAGATCCTGCAGTTGCAGAAACTGATATTAGTTCAAGCCAAGTTGCTGCTTCTACCAACAATCCAGCTAGCCAAGATGGAAAAAAGGTTGTAAGTTGTTTTGATGACTTGTTATAGCTATCTTTGCTATTTGGTATATAAATGACATATTTTCCTTTTAAACTGTAGGGAACAAAGAAAACCAAGAAGCCTGTTGCTGAGTCTTCAAATAAAAGGGTAGAAAAATCTGCTGCATCTTTTGATTTTTTTGTCTTTATGCAATTTGACTTTTGCTACCTCACTGTTTTGTGCAGAAGAGGCATAGACGTACAAGAAGAGTTGCAGCTGCAGTTTGTAATGATGATTCAAACACTGAACATCAACAGGATATTGAGCCACTGGTTGAGATTGAGATAACATCCTCTGCCCCAGATCAAGTAGACCAGGATATGTACGAAGTGTTTGGGCTGTCAAGGTCTCAAGTGAAATATAGCACCAAGGAAGCCAGAACACAAACTAAAAAACAAGTACAGATGCCCTTCAGAATTAGAGATGTTCATATGCATGTTGTTGCTGCTGCCAAGGCAGATTTAAGTGTTCCTAGTTCATCTAGATTGAAGGGAAAGGAGAAACTACTGTAATAGGAGAAACAACATGCTGAATTTTCTTCAAGCCAAGCTGTTTTTGTTCAAGCCAAGTTGCTACTTTTGTAATTAGTGAATGACTTTTGTTGTTTCAACTTTTGCCTTGCCTAGTAATGATGGAAGTGCAGGCTGTAATGTGATAGCTGGCTTTATTTCATTTATGGACCCATGTTCAACAACAGTCATGTAGTTTGCTTTATTTCATTTGGAATGCACTTTAATTGTATTGAAGTTATGATATACATATATGGCAGCTGTTTTCATGTTCATTTGTTTGTATTATTTGCATTTATTTTTCAACTTGGTTTATCAGTACATGTGGGACAATCTTGGTTTATCAGCTTAGTTGCCAGCTTGGTTTATTTGCATTTGTTTTCCAGCGTGGTTTATTTGCATCTGTTTGTATTATCAGTACATGTGGTTTATCAGTTCATGGCTGTTTTATATATATGATATGAACAACACTTTGACAAGAACCATTTTTTTACACTCAACGCATAGCTTTACAAACAAAATAAATTGCAGAGTTCATAAATTGCATTGTTGCCAAATACATTTCCCTTCCTAAATCTCACCTTTTACATAAATTGCAGAGTTCA